TATTTATTATGAACTAGAATAAACTTCCAACTAGTAGAGGTATATTTTAACTCATAGATAGAATTTTTCATCTACTCCTATTTGTAACAAAATTGCACCTATTGTAAATTTTAATGCACCTATTTTTATGAAAAAATGCCTTAAAAAAGTTGACGCAATACAAGATTGATGCAAAAATAAATATCATCTTTAAGGCTTCAAAAGATGTTTTTGTTTCTTTGCTCGACTTAAGTTTGTCTTCACATATCAAACATATAAGAAGATCCAAAACTTGAGAATTTGTTTTGATGAAAATCAAATAATAATTGGTAAATTCTAAAAAAATACTATACATCTTTGATTATTTTTAAAATCTTTGAATCCATAATAGAACAAATATTTTTAGAATCCATCATAAGGCCATTATTTGAAATAACATATCCTAAAAAATCAACTTATGCAGTGAAAAATATACACTTTTCTATCTTAATATATAATCTTACATCTCTTAATTTTTATAATATATGTCAAATATGAAGTTCATATTCTTTTGTATTCACAAAATAGATTATGATGTCCAAATAACAAACAATAAAGTCATCAAGAAATTGACAAAAGTTATTATTTATTAGATCTTAAAAAATAATTGGTGCATTTGTGAATTCAAAAGGCATGACATTATATTCAAAATGCCCATATCTGATTCAAAATGCACTTTTTATTTATCTCCTTCTTTAATACATACCAAGTTGTATGCTTCTTATAGACCATAACTTCTTCTTCCATAAACAATTTGAAACAAATCTATAAGTCAAATTAGAGGAGAATAATCTACAACCTTTAATACCAAATGAAAATTCTTATAAAGATAGATAATCCACTCTCTTTAAGGACAAAATCACCATTAAAGAACTAAAATATTGGATTGAAGGTAGATAGTTTGTAATCTTCAAAACACAACAATAGATGTTAAATAGTCCACTCACTTTTGAAAATAATATAAAAAAAATGATTTAGGATTCTTGTTAAATTATCTAAGATATGAATCTTGAAGAAGTAAAAGTTCAATATATTTTTATGTTATTCAAAAATACTAAAGAATTACTCAAAGATGGTATGATGTTAAACTAAAATAGCTACTGCTAAAGATAAGAAGATTAGAAAGTCTAAAAATAAGACTAAGGACTATAAAAGGATCGACAAGACTAAAAAAGGCTTTATTCTTACTTCTATATGTACTATCCAACTAGATGCTACATAACTATGTTCTATAGGACCTCTAATATGTATCCAACTTGCAAGACATGTATCTTGATTTGTAAGGTAAGTTTCTTATATGTGTACTATATTATTAACTTGTACTACAAGCTATCAATATATCTGACACATTATTGCATTACGTGAAGTCTTGCTTCAGAATGCACCAAGCACATGGCTATGAAAAGTAGAATGAAAATTATTATAATAAAATTTTAATTCTAATAAAATACTAAATAAACTCTAATTAAACCTTAACAATACTAAATAAGCTTTAATAAAATTTAAAATAAATCTTAAAGAAATTACAAGAAAAATAATAAAAAATCTTAAAAGAATTGAAAGAAAAACTACAATAAATCTTAAAAGAATCCTTAAGAATTCCTAAAAAAATATAATAATAATCACAAATATATATTAAATAAATCTCAACCAAGTTCTAATTTAATCCTTGCTAAAATCTTAGTGGACCTCAATTAAATCTTGGACAAATCCTAAATTCTTAATCAAACTCTAAAAACATCCTAAATCCTAAATGAAGTCCTATACAAATTCTAAATCCTAGATCAAATCCTAGACAAATAATAAATCTTAGACCAAATCTTAGACAAAATCTAAATCTTAAATCTTGAACTAAATCCTAAATAAATTATAGATCTTAAATCAAATCCTTAAAAAATCCTAAACTCTTTATCAAACTCTAAACCAAATCCTAATCCTAAACTAAATCCTTACCAAATCTTAATTAACTCAATATAATCCGGGTACTATTGACAACTTCAATATCTATCAATTGAACTATTGATCTTATTTAAAAATTTACATAATTTTTAATAATTAACTTAACAATAAGCATACAAAATTTGAAGATAATTGCTTTTATCAAATAGAAGAAAAATCCTAAAAATTTCTTGGGTGTTGTTTAGCTTCCTACTCTAATCAAAGTGTTGAACTTCCAATGCCAATATCTCCTTTTCAAATAGTTCAATTATTTTCAAATTTCACATATGTATAGAAAATCAAGTTTTTTACTTTCATATATAAATTTTATTCCAATCCAACTAATAGATTACTAAAGATCTTAGAAATCCTAATTGCCTTTCAAAGTCCAATTTCCGAAACCTCAACCTTCTTGAAATTCAATAACCTTCAATTCAATCATTCAATCAAGCTCAAACTTATAACATACACTTCAAACAATTATTTTTATAAGTTCTCAAAATTTAAATCATAGATCTACTAACAAACTCATAAAACTTTTCAAAACGTAATATCTTTTTTTTTTCACAAATTCTAGAGTCATCCAAAAACAACTATGACTTTGCATAACTCTTGCAAAGTCATTATACACTCAAATCACTCAAAATTAATGCTTAAATAAACCCTTTTAATTTTTCTCTCTAATCCCCTTCTCCAAACTATAAAAGAGCCCTTGAGTTCTTGTAGATGCTCAGTTTTGTGTCTTAGAGTTTGATTTTGATCTAGATTGATAACTGGTCCTCTTTGGATATCAAATTTTATCCTTTTGAATAAATTTTTACTAAAACCAACCCCTAACTTCCTTCTACATATGCTCATATTCTTTATTTTTTTAATCTACCTTGTTTTGCCATATTTATGGCCTTACAAAGACAATAGAAGCATACTTCGTAAAAAAGTAGCATTTACATCTTTAATTTTAGTTTCTTTTGGACTATTGTCTATTTTTTAAGATAATTTACTACAATATTTGAAGTGAGATCTTCTATAATATAATAATTTCTTCATCCTTTTCACCTATTAGTCGTGTTACATCACGATAATGTAGCTAATTTATTGGCAAAGTTTTTAACTTATCAATCACTTATAAACAAGTATTAAGATAAAATCACATCAATAAAGCTTCATAGAAGCTTTTCTACAAGATATTGCCAAATTAATCTATTTTTATATATTCATAATATTTAGATAATTATTGCAATAAATATATATGTCCATAACATAATCTCAACAATTTGTAAGAACATGCACATTTTGATTTTTGATTAACCAAAAGTTGAATTATTGCTCCACTTTTGCTTCACTTTTGATGAAAACAATGAAATATGCAACCAACAAGAGGTGGTTTTTGTCTCCTTTGGTTTCTCATGTTGATTTATCTCCTCAATTCTTTTATATAAGAGATTTTTCTTTTTCTTTTTCTTTTTTCTTTGTTTCTTTTCCTCCAAAGAAAGTATGCATTATATGAATACATTAAGTCTACTTCCTTTTGGTATCATGCCCCCAACATCTCCTTGGAATTAAATCATATTTCATTTCTATAGTGGATGAGGTCCTCATGTGCTTAAATCACAACCCCATAGAAGAAAAAGAAAAGAAAAGAAAAGAAAAAGAAGATGTCACCCAGGAAGAGCAAACAAACCAAGTTCAAATTAGGCCCATTGCGAGAAAAGATAAAAGTTTGGAAGCTCACTTTGCAGGGTTCCCAACACTGAAAAACTTTTGGGGATGACTGAGAGCGAGGAAACGAATCCAAAGAAAACGAGACCAAGAGAAACTTGCAGAAGCAGAAGAAGAAGTAGGGGCTATGGTCAACGGGGGGAATCGATCCCATCACCGGTAGCCCCGCCAGCTGGCCACAGAAGATCGAGACCAAGCAAAAGAGAAAGGGCTGAGCTGGCCAAGGGAGGCAATGATGAGCTGCCAGCAGGGGTCAGAGTAGGTGGGAACAAGCCTGACGAGGCCGAAGGCGTACTCAAGAAATAGCGTGACACCGTTTTTGGTGTTGGTCGGTTTTAGTATAGCTCTTCCGCTTTGATAAAGCGCCTACGTGGCCATCTAACGCGGCCATCGTGGCGGGGGGCCACAGCTGGTGAAGAGCTCCGGTCTCGTTAGACGCAAGTCAAAGCTTCGGATCGCACGTCGAAGCTTTTGCTCGCGTTCCGCGGCCGCTGGGAGAATTCGCGCAAAGAATCCACCATCAGCACAGGTACGGAGACTGCCCTTCCGCAGCCAATCTGGTGAACCGTATGTCATTCCATTCTCAGCCTGCATACGATCAAGCCAAAGCGGGGCCCGATCGAATCAGATGGGGCCCATCAAGTGTTGATCGGATGATGCTTCCTGCACCTCCTTTTTCTGCGTCGCCGGGGCCATCCGCTGGCGGCCACCACTTCAGCTCCTGGCGATCGATGAGCGGAACGATCACATCCACCAGCACTTGTCTTATCGCGAATTTCTCCGCTGTTCAGGCTCCTGCAACATTTGGGATGAACAGTTTTCACTGCACCTGCAAGACATCTTCGGTTTCATCTAACCTCGCTCGCAGTCAGCGGAAGCCGATGTGCGGGATTGCCTGCTCCTGCCTGCATGGAGTGACCTTTCCAACTGTGTGTCGTGTTGCGGCTGCAATCTCGGGGTGTTACGTTGGACCGTGAGAAGGGACAGGGGGAATAGAATGAGGTGGAATGAGAAATTTAGAACCTGGTTTAATTACGAGATCAGCAAGTCCGTTTCCCGTTTCGTGTCTGTGTGAAGGAAGAAGTCAGCGCGATTATTATTATATACAAGTATATTTATTTTGATCAATTCGTGTTTCTGATTTGCTGTCCGTAGTGCAGCGCATGCTGAAATGCTCCTAAACGCATTCAACAAGTGCAGCCCGAGTCATCTTGTTTCTCACGCAACTAAAGAAGAGATCTTCTACTGAATTTTTAAATCTTTCCTGACTTAATTCACTACATTGCCTTTCACTTTAATCTCTGAAGTGCTCGATCGTTGTCTCCCCTCCATTTAATGTAGAACGGAACACCCCTTCATCCTTACCCTCAAGCAGTTGAAGTCTCTAGCTGATTCGAAATCTGACTCACTGCAATTTTTCTCTCTTGCAAACTGAGGGCTTGAGGCTTCGTGAATATCTCTTTGGACCTCTACAGTTTCTGGGCCTCGTAGAATCGCTGACAGCGCAGTCATTCCAACTTTCTTTAAAATAACTGTGATCATAGTTTCATCATCATATGGCGACAGATTCTCAGACTAGCTTTTAACACACATTGACGACTCAAAAGCTACATAGCTAAAACATCGCTTGGAAGCAGGTTGTGGAAGTTTTCAGTTGGTGTTCCAGTTGATCATCAGCTGAATTTTGTTGTGAATTGACTGAAGTGTAGGTCGGAGAGGATGCGTTAGAATTTGAGTCGTTCGCAAGATATTGAGTGGATTACGATTGCACAAGCATGTCAGAAACGCGGCCCATGAACCCACCGCCTCACAAGTCTATCATGCACGAAACTCTGAATCACTTCAGACACGTCGGCTTATGGGATCCCCAAAGTGGCCTGATTCGTGGACAAAGCGACAGATACTCGGGATTGCGTCCCGAGGCTGTGAAGTCTAACCTTCTGCGGGGCGCTAGCTCTGACTTGTCTGAGTTCATCTGGCCCAAGGATCAATGGCCCTCGGTTCCTCACGACGATTTCCACTTTGCTAAGAATCTGCCCACAGTTGATCTCTCAGGTTTGAGGGCCGGGGATGCAGAACTGCGATTCAACGCGGCGAGACTGCTAGCTAAAACATTCTCGGAATGGGGATTCGTGCAAGTAAAAAATCATGGCGTTCCTGCGGAGGTGATCGAGAGAATGCAGAACCAAGCTCGACGGTTTTTCAATTTGCCTTTGGAACAGAAGGAGAAAGGGGTAGCGACAAGGTCCAGCAAGCACGAACAGTTCGGCTATGGCGTCGAGAGCGGATTCTACTACGCTGGTAAGCCTTGGATCGACCGTTTCCAGTGCCGCTGGAGCCCCGTGTGCGAGATTCGTGAGCCCGTGGAAAAGGTGTTCAGCCCCTCAGATGCGGAGGAGTTCAGGTAGATTTTCAGCTTCTCGAGTTTCATAGCGCATTGCAACGTTGTATCTGCATTTTGTCTTTAACCTAAAGTTATGATAGTCTCGTAACGAACATTATCCAAAATCCTCGAGGGCTTCTGACCACGTACATTGCCGCATTCCTTCGACACAACGAAGACAACACCACCTTGCATCGACTTGAGATCTTCTGAAACCTTTGCACAACCCAAGTCTTCTGAAATTGATCCACAGTAGGCTCAACTATTCTTTTTGTGCACATGTTATGCAGTTATAGCATAGAGGTCTACAATAGCCAGTTGGACAAGCTTGCAACCAAGATTCTGGAGCTTTGCGCACTTGGACTCGACCTTCCGGAGAACACATTTACGAAGCCATTCAAAGGCACGGCGGGCGACTGCATCGCTCGCATGAACTATTACCCTCCATGCCCACTTTCGTCCCTAACTCTGGGACTCGGAGCACACACAGATCCCAACTTATTGACGATCTTGAGTCAATGCAAAGTCGGCGGGTTGCAGGTGCGCAAGAACGATACTTGGATCTCCGTTGAACCGAAGCCTGACACCCTCATCATCAACATCGGCGATACCTTTGAGGTGAGTTCTCGGATCCCCTTGAAACTCATCACTGACACGTCCCTTGAATTCTCCCTTTCTCTAGTAGGTTTGCCGTGTTGGATTCAAACATCCGTGTTTATCGAGTTATCTTCTTCAGATGGACGACTCGCTTGCGTAACTCCAGATCACTCTCTGGACGTGAGTGGGGCCGGTAGGTGATTCTATGCTTGTGGTAGTGCATAAGCGGTGACCAACAAGCAGATTGGATACGAAAGCTTCTCGGTTCCGGCATGTGGAAACGCCCACAAAGCTTCAGCTGGTGACATGTTGCTTTGTAGCTGAATGATTTTTGGTTTCCGACGCTTCTGATTCTCAGAATTTATGAGCCACTTGGTGAACTTCGAAGGGTTGGGTTTTCCCAACTAAACCAGTGGATCAAACACGACTGAACCATCCTCAGGAATTGCTGCAGTTCCTTGAAAGGACTTTTGAGCGAGTCCACGGTACAGTATGAGTCGCACTGACCAGAGGAGTATGGTTCGGCACCCAAAGAGTATATTACAAGGGCTCCGAGGCATCTTAATACTCTGAAATCTTGTTTCGAGAACCGGTGAAAACATCCTATCCCAGAATCAAAAATGGTCGGCGCAGACGAAATTCTTAGTTGCCGAGGTGGGATCAGAATGTTGTAATGGGACGGTCCTCTAAGCAGCAGACGAAATGGGATATTTTCTTAACGGTGAGGGATTAGATGAATTTGTGGGGAGGTGGAATCTGGGAGAAAGTTTCTAGCCACCAACGTAATAGTTCATGAGCATGCTAGAGGATATATTCAAGGACTAGTGCAACGCTGCCCCACCGCTTGATTAAATCTACCCTGTGAACCTTACTAGAGCCGGATCCCAAAAGAGGGACTTAATTTTGGGGAGTTTCAACTGTTGGTGTTGGGATGCACTGCGGAATGCGAATTTCAAATCTGGGATCCTAGACGGGAAACCAGTTGAGGGAGGGTTTTTGGGGCACTAGTGATCTGGTTGAGTGAAGGTGAGTTTTTCGACCACCAATCATAAGCGGCGTTTTTCTCATATACTCTACCAGGGCGGGCAGGTGTATGGAAATACCTTTCCTCGTCATGGCATCTGTCGTTGCTGGTGTGCGCTTAGAACCACAGCGCGAATCCTTCTGTTTCTTTTGTCCGTTAAAATAGTGTTCTGATCCCGTTTTGTCACTTCAAGCGAATGTTTCTAGTTGCGTGCATAGAAACCTCCATTCCTCCGCATCTTCTAGGCACCTGTCGAAACCATTGACTCCGGCGCTGAGATTCAATTAAAGTACTCGTTCTCCCGATACCAGTTCAAGATTTGCAAGAGGAATATGGTGCAGATACTCTAACCAGGGTGACCGTGCACATTATTTCTGCTCTGCAAAGAGAACCCAAGAGAATGTTGTCGAGTGCATTCAATTAATCTCAAATTAAGAACCCAGCTGTGAACCGGGCGTTGACGTCTGGCAGTTGCGTTGCCTATTCATAGACAAATATTCCTTTCGCAGTCCTCGCCCACAGGGAGCTCTCCCATGCTGGGAATGGTATGCTCAAGTTTGCACATGTTCTACTGTAATGGTCCATCTTGCACAACTGGGTGAATTCAAGCTTTATTTTAGTGATTAGGAGCGTAAAATCTGCATCTTAGAAAAATTATTAATGGAATCGCAAAGCATCACCCTCTTAAAACGGAGCTTATTTTGGATATTGCTCGGGCTCTCTTGAGAATGGAGCTCATCGTTTTTTTTTTTTTTTTTTTTTTTTTTTTCTGATACGATATTTGCTGCCGATTTGCTTCAGGCCTGGACAAACGGACGGTTCCGAAGTGTGGAGCACCGAGCTGTGGTGAACGAATCAGAAGCGCGGATGTCCATGGTGTACTTTGCCTCTCCTCCGGCGAAAGCAACGATTGAGGTTCCAGAGCAGCTCGTCACTTCTAAGCACCCCTTGTGGTTCCGGCGATCGTTCACTTGGGAGGAGTATAAGAGCCACTTGTTTCAAATGCACGCCGGAGGGAACGGAGTAAAAATTTCCAAACAGTGGCTACTTAAACCGTGAGGTTTTGAAGAGAAATTGATTATGCTTAACTCTTTGGTTAGGAGCACCAGGCCACCAGGCTCCATTACTGACACCATTTACAATTGCCTGCTCATAGAGATAATTCCTAATCATGCCTATTCAAGCCTGTATGCACCCAGTCTGCTCCAGTTATTTTTACGTCCATCGGGGAGGATTTCGAAGCACAAGTAGCTATAACTATACCAGGGTGGATTTAGTGTAGGGGTAAGACTCAAGCTTAGCAGAGCAGCATGTGTAACCAATTCATCGACCTTCACAGGTTCGTTACCATTGTGTCGGTTGCGCTTAGTCTTACACCTTATTGCAAGAGATTACTTCAAGCTTTATTCATCAAAACTTGCTCATACTGTATCTTCTCACTGTTATCACTTCAAACTAAGGACAGGAAGTACGGTCCAAATTCTAATTTCTACTATTAAAAGCATGAAAGCAGTATTTGTAAGAGAGACAAATTCAACCAGAGCGTTTGCTGCCAAAAGCATATGGCAATCTTGTGGATTATCACAGATCTGTAGACAATTGCAACAAAACAGATGTTGAATCGAAATACACTAGTACAGCCAATCATGGCTCCAGAATCATTATGCCTCTAAAAAGGTTCCTCTTCAGCACATAACTAACAGGAATAACTCGACTGCCTTGTGACGAATTTCTTCTGTGAACACCCATTGCGAACTAAGCAGCGACGTGCAGGAGTAAAGTAATTGCCGTTCGGCTTTCAGGTGCGGAAAGGTATCTATATGCTGAGAAGCAAACCGAACCAATTACCGTCATCATCCATCAATATTTCAAAATGTACAAACCTGAAGTTCAGGAAGATTCTTGTACCTCGTAGAATAAAATAGAACCTGATAAACTATGCAGGTTAGCGGCAACTTCACTTCCAAGTTAAGTACCAACGTGAGAGAAAACCTAAGATCAAGTCCCAGCAGGAGCTGCAGACTTAGTTTTTGCTGAGGCAGCGGCTGCCACCGCAGCTGCCGCATTAGCTGCGGCAGCTTGTGCAGCCTGTGCCGTAGTTGTTGATATAATCGGCTGAGGACTAGGAAGTGGAATATTAGATCTGTTGACTTGCTCTTTCACTTGCATCAGTAATGCCTTGATTTCTACAGCAGTCATGGTTTCACGTTCCAAAAGAGTAGCTGCCAGAGTATGGAGCTCGCGTTGATGGGTAGTAAGTATCCTTTTTGCATTTTCGTATGCAGTCTGTAGGAGATCACGCACTTCACTTTCAACAAGCAGCCTCGTTTCCGTACTCATCGACTTGCCATCATCTTCATAATTATGAGCAACCACACCCACTGCTTTGCTCATTCCATATTTGGTGACCATTTCTCGGGCTAATCTGGTAGCTTGAACAATGTCTGAAGAAGCTCCAGATGTAACCTGTTCCACACCGACACCTCCCCTTGTTAAACAGATCAAACACAAAATACTTCTTCCAAATCACTAATAACATATACAACGATCAGAAGTAGAATAGTTAGGGTTTGCTCATAGGTAGCCAACACATACTCAAGTCTACCAGGGGCACTGATGCAACATCGGATTTCAAAAACCAACATAAGAGGATGAACAAAAGAGAAACATCTGACATACAATACTAAAGAAAGAACATACGCAAGTATAAAAAACATCACATACCTCTCCTTCTCCGAACACAAGTTCCTCTGCAACGCGTCCACCCATGCATACATCCAGACGTGCAAGCATCTGCTTGCGTGAGAAGCTAGTTTCATCTTTGTCAGGAAGCTGGGTGACCATACCAAGAGACATACCCCTCGGTACAATTGTGGCCTTGTGAACCGGTAAAGCGCCCTCAGTGAATATGGCAACAAGTGCATGGCCCCCTTCATGAAAAGCAGTGAGTCGCCTCGACTCCTCAGATATCACTGCAGACTTGCGTTCACTACCCATCATGATCTTATCTTTGGCAAACTCCAAATCTGCCATGCTTACATCTTTCTGCCCGTCCATAGCAGCCTTCAAAGCTGCTACATTGATAAGGTTAGCCAAGTCAGCGCCAGAAAATCCAGGAGTTCCACGAGCTATGATTGATAAGTCGACATCGCCAGATTTTGGCACCTGCAATCCACCAGCACCAAGCATCACGGTACGTTCATGTTTTGAGTACTCCTGAGACTAAGGATCCTAAAACTCAAATTTGAGTAATAATGACATAAAATAATTAACTTATAATGCATATCTTAAAAGAAACAGCTAGCTAGGTCCGTCGACTCAGTGATTAAGAAAAGAACAGGCAGATATCTTTCACTTGCAGTTGTAACTTAACAAAGTAGAAATGTTTAAGTCTTGTGGAAATTGGATGAAGTAACAAGTGGCCTAGCACCTTGCTCATGTGTGCTTCCAGTATTTGGCGACGTCCTTCGACATCGGGGTTTGGGACCACAACATGCCGATCAAATCGACCTGGTCGAACAAGCGCTTTGTCAAGCGATTCTGGAAAATTGGTTGCAGCAACAACGATTATGCCTTCATTCTGTTTAAAACCATCCAGCTCCACGAGCAGCTGATTCAAAGTCATCTTCATATATTGCTGATCTTTAGGATTTCTGCTTCCTCCAATAGCATCTATCTCATCCATGAAAATGATGCACGGTGCCCTGCAACAAATAGCAATTAACACAATTAGAAATGCGTATGCATATAGAATAGAATTATGTGTTTGAGTTTCAAGATCACTGATTGAGTTCCTTTATCATCTTCAAGAAACAAGAGAAAAAATATACTCCTACTAAACATGCATATTTCCTGTTGTTTTACTCACAAAAGTATGCTTATGGTCTTAAAAACATGATGTGACAATGCAAGAAACCCCAAAGAGACACAAAACTTGAATAATCGTTACAATTACAAGAGCGTACTAACACACATAGAACCTTTCATAACTGCAAGTTGGAATAAAATATTTAACGTCGAAAAGATTCATTACCGTTTCTTCGCTGCAGCAAATAAGTCCCGTACTCGTCGAGCACCAACACCCACAAACATTTCTTCAAATTCGCTTCCACTACAATAAAAAAATGGAACTCCCGCTTCCCCAGCTATAGCCCTGGCCAACATGGTCTTCCCTGTACCAGGTGGTCCAACCAATAACACTCCCTTCGGCAGCTTGCCACCCAACCTTGTAAATCTCTGCTTGCAACACCCACAGAATTATTCTCGCTAACCCAAACTAAGACTCGTACTATCCACGAGGAAGTAATCATACATATAATTTCTGATATGAATCAACTAAAATGTACCTGAGGATCCCGTAAATAGTGAACAATTTCTTCAAGTTCGGCTTTGGCTTCATCCACGCCTTTGACATCACTAAATTTGGTGTTTGACTCCATGCTTGGCTGTACCTCTTCATTCAAGCCGAGACCTGGGATCATGGGAAGATAATGTCAATATATGACGCCCGGTCATGATAACATTCCAATAGCTTGTATTCTTTCTTAATTGACAAAGATAGAACATACTGACTCAGAACATAAATGGTGTTGAAACTCTCCAGTAATCCCACCTTTTCCAATCCCACGATCTTCAATCAAAGCTCCAACCCCCGATATGAGCAAGAAACCAAGGGCTAAGGTACGCAGTGTTCGCCAAGCTTGCACTTTGAGCCCTCCTTCTGCAGTGACCATGTGAATAGGAGCTTGTGGAGTGCCTAGCAATCCCTCTTTTGTCATTACTCCTGCACTTCCTAGGATAGGCGCTGCAGCTGATGCCATGTTCATATTGGATTCAGATCTTACTCCATTGCCAGCTAATGCTGCTCCTGCTCACCCGAAAACCAGCAATGTAAGGCACGAGAAGAATAAGCACACAGGGTTATGAACACCCAAGCAAAACAAAACGAGGTTAATTTGATTAAGATATAGTATTAAAAAGATTCGATGATCAAAAGAGAACAAAACTTTTAGCATCACAACTGGAGGCATATACATCATATCCTTTAGAATTGAAGAAAGAAAGATGTTCGATACAAACCCTCAGTCGGTCTGTCATTTCTACAAAACTCCATTAGCATGCTATGTTAGAAAAAAATTAGTAGCTAAATTATACCCATACTCACCTCGCTGCAGGGTTCTTAGTAGAGCACTGTCGTCAAGTCTATCAACCTTCACCAGAGCCTTTACGTACTCGGCCATTGCTGCAGAACTGTGGTGGGGAAGGGGACGACTCTCAAACCATCGAATGACACTTTCCGGATCTACTCTATTCAATTGCTTTAGGAGACTGACTTGTTTAACCTCAGAATCCAACTTACTACCAGCTTCCGATTGTTCCAACCTCCTAGCATAATTACTGGTGTAACTGGACATTCGTCTTCTTTGCCCCCCCGACAACGTACGACCTGTGAAGAAGGATTGGATCATTCCATCAAGAAAGATACAAAAGGGATTGTGGAATTCCAAAAACAGCAACCACAACAGAGAAACTTCGAGACACGTGAATGTAAAATGTGACAAAAGAAATATTCTCGTAGAACTCCTAAACAATATCCATCAAGAAAATTCACACTTGTACTGGCACTGCACGCTAGCACATATCAAAATCCAAAAACATACTAACTAATGAACAAGCTAAATCCACATTTTATAGATATCTCAACATCTACAACGAAAGATCTTATAATTCGATATAAGGAGCGGTAGCCAGCCAGAAACTTCCTTCAGAACCTTTCGGCTTCAATTGGCATGTTCAGAAACTGGCTAGCATTGAAGTACAACTATATAACCCGATAACTTTTTGAACCATCAGTCAAAAAGCACAATTACCTTCATTTTGAAGACCGGCAGAGTGCGAACGAAGTCGGTAAAGTGATAACCTCAAGTAACTCCCTAGTCCTGCCCGCACATTCGATTTCGCCATCTGCTTTGCGGCATGACCACCCTGTAACAAGAGATAATATGATGAACGGTTCATCCACAGGTATTCAGAAGCACAGGACCAGTGCCAAAATCGAGTAGCAAAAATTAGCAAGTATGTAACAACGCTGGGATCTAACTACAAGCTCTTTTTAATCAATATTTTAGCGACCAAACGATAGATGAAAAATAATTCTCCCAATGACATTGATTACTGTTAAGAGGCCGAGAACTACCTCGACCGAAAGCAGAAGGACGCTAGGATAATATTAACGAAGTACGTAGTCTCGTCCTAGCTACAGAGTGCCAATGGCAGAACTTTGTACCCTAACTATAACTCATTTCATTAACAACATCCAATCATCATGCGTTTCACCATACACCTTCATATACCTTCACGTATCTTCACGAGGACAAACTTAGCCACCAAAGCTTACTGCTTAGCGATACCAAGAATAGTTAAAGTTAATATATTAAAAAATAAATTTAACCTAATTATCCATTTGCATGGTACAATATCCCGCGCAACAAAAACCCTTACAATTAACCACGAACCGTCTCTACCGCATGAGAACATAAATTGGCGACCACTAACCTCTTGCATCAACTGCCGCCACGCCATACTCAAAATTCTATTCCAACTTAACTTTCCTTCGTACGCGATCGAGAATCATAGTTCAATTCCACAGCTCATTGTACATCACGGAGACGCCGATAATGCGTCCCGTCACAACCGGCCCTAGAAATTCCCTGTCCTGTTCGAACAATCCTCCACTCCCTTTTCCACAGTGCTTCCAAACCCCTTTCAGCCCAAATCCTCCGCTGTCCCAGCTTCAAATACTCCACCACCACCAGCTAGCTCAATTGCCAAAACCTCCACGAACCCAATTCCCCGAATCAAACCTACAAACCCATTCGATCGATAGAACTCGCACAAAGCTTTGAAGACCTCACACGCCTGTCAATATACTGATCAGTCCCCACCGAAATTCCGACGATCCTCCACAGAGCACCAAACGAAACGCCGCAAAAACTTTCCGGGAGTGGACGTGGAGGAGAGCCGGAACGCGTAGCACCGGTGGCGTGGATCGAGAAGCTCAGCTCGATCAATCGAAGCAGGTCACAAGACGAGCGAGAACCTTCTCTGCCACCTTCGATCCACAAAACTGGCACTGCAATTTGCTCATGCACCCAAACAGCAAACCCTAAAGCCAGGCCGACTGAGAGGAACGCCGCAGATGGATAGATGAACGTATGGATGAATATGGGTCTTGGGAGAGGTGGCTCGCCACGAAGGAGGTTTCGTGACGTGGCCCACTGTGGGGGTGGGGATGGGGGCGGGGCCACGTAGGCGAGGGTGATTGTTACGTGGCGGTGGTGTCAGCCAATGATGGTCGGAGAGTCGAGCTGGCTCTATGTGCAAGAGGAAAATACTAACACTTATGGCAACCTAAGAAACAAATTAAGTTTAAAACTTGAGTAATATTGTTTTGAGATATCAATAAAATCCAGTATTAAACTCATACGTTACTGATTCAGCCAAAGTATCAATTAAAAATTAAAATGTGTTGATTTTCTATTTTTTTTATTTTTGCTAGAAAAACCACTGAAGTGTAAGTACTCAAATATCAATTAAATTTCAACTTTCAAGTTAATCAATACTTATTGCAATAATAGCTTCATAACTCTTACCACAACTTTCATTCATGAATTTCACTACCAATGTCTTATTATGACTACTTAAAACATTTTTGTTTTTGTTTTTTTATAAAGAAAGATATCACATGGACTCTATGTCTTTAAATACAAACTGTATGTATATTACAGTACGTTTTTCAAGACATCTATATGTTTTCAAAACCTTGATCTCGAAATAAAAATACCATTGATGCAACCACATAAAATGCACTATTTTTTAATTATTACTTCTTGAAGTTAAATATATGTAAGCTAGCAAATAATCAAATTTGCAATATATATATATATATATATATACATATACTCATATATTCATTCATGCATGCATGCATGCATTCTTGTCTTTACTCTGCTTAATTTAATTGTGTTTTCTTAAACATGTGTAAAAAATTAATTAATTAATTAATTAGAAATAAAATTTAATCTCTTTATTGAGACCCAATTTTTTTGTCACAAGATATATGACAATATATGAGTCTTTGAATAATCTCAAGATTTTTGTGATTATAAATGATCAAAGTCTTACCATTGCATAAGTAAAATGAGTTTTAGAAAACGTTTTTTCAACCCCATTGTAACTGCAATTTTCAACTTACCAAATACAGAAAAGAAAGTTCAACAATCCTAATAATTTCAAACTCATTCAAAAATCACTACATGAATTTGTAAGAGACACAACCAACACATATTATCTAACATGGTGATTGTAGATTTATCATACACAATTGACAGAGTACGTAATTCTTATATGTGCAAAATCGCACTCAACCAAACTCAAATTTAGTCAAAGAATTGATCATCCCATTCACTGAGAGCGCAAGACAAAGTATCATGCAAAATGCCTCTGGAGCTAGAAAAACTTGATATATATATATATATATATATATATATATATTTGGCGAGGCTAGTACTGATATACATTTATGTATAATGCTAAAATGGAAAACATTCATTTTCAACACTAACACTACGAAACATTTATATGTAATGCAAGTACTAGAAACATTCATTTGACATACTAAAACTAATCTATGGTGCCAGTATGAGAACCACGACTTCTAAATCCTTGAATTGGCCCAAATTTTAAAAGTTCTCTCTTTGAACCAATCCAAAGATTCAAAAGTTGTGTCTCTCACCTAATTCTCAAAATATAAAGACCCTCTAATACTGATGCACATGCTAGCAATGGAAACATTCATGTGCAAAAAGTTTAACCAAAACCATTGTTTTCGAGCCATCTAGCATGCGCAAAAAAGAGGCTATTCGAAGCATGTCGGTGATGTGGGTCCTTCAGCACAATGCACAGTCCGGTAAATCGGACTGCTTGCAGTTGATCGCAGTATCGTACCGACGTCTAAATGCCCACTTCTAGAAATATCTAGAAACATCTAGATGTAGACTGATGGGCATCGCACAGGACCGCAACAGCACACACTGGTTGCACCGATACTCCGATTGCAGGCTCCGATGATCGCCGGGACCGTCTAGGTAAGTCCGTTGTGACAGTAGAGGTCGTGGTGCAAATGGTCCCGAAGCCTAACAAGCGGTGACCTCATGAGTCCTAATCGTATCTTAGCACTCGATACCTGCAGATGCACTTGCCCATGCACAGAAGCCAGAAGGTTCTGTACGGGAATATGCCGTCACCAGGTCAGATGTGATGGATGCAATGAGTCTTGATGCTGGCTTATCTCTCTCTGCGTGTGTGTGTAAGTTGTGCATAGCATTGAGACTGCATTTGGTGCGAACAAGCGAGACTGATCGATACGCTTCAGGTGGCTGCGGGTACAGTGCCGTAACTTCTGTACTATGTCTTCAAGAGCCTCTGAAAAGGCTAGGATCAAAAGTCGCAGATCTTGTACAGTAATCGCTCTTTCTACGGCTTTAGAGTCAGCTGGGAAAGAACATAGGTCGTCATGATTGTGAGGATACAGGAGGTTGGATATCTTATACTTGCGAAGTAATAATATGAGTCCGATTCCTACACGAGACCAGAGGTTGATGATCACCACTTTCAAGGCAGAAACCTTATCTCAATACAATATGATAAAGACTCTCTGTTTGAAAGTTGTGAATAATACAAGCATCAAAAGCTTTGCATGATCAGTGACGAGTTGCTGTGTTAGCCACTCCTTGAGCCATACAATACTGTGACAAAAGTTCAATCAAGGTTGCAAGATTCTCTCAAAGTGGGGAGTCCGCGAGGGAATTTACACCCCACAAAGGCATGGTTATACACCACTTGAAACCGTTGTTTGCAAACTGATTTCAAAGAGCTAGATAGTTGTCCTTCACCTAACATGAAGCCCCCATTTGCTGATGGATAGGAGACACACAACACATCTTCATAACTCTTGACATGGATGTGAGGTTCCCGGTAAAGTGAAACGCATCACGATTGAGACTGATCGTTGTTTAGCATCCAGTCAAAGTAAGCTTTTTAAACCTCGGGAAATCGAGGAACATGCTTAAGCCTAAACAGCGATCAACGCTCCGGCGAATTTTTCGAACAGGTGAGCAATTTTAACAACTCGGATGAAAAATTGAAATGATCAGCGCAAGAAATAGAAGAAGCTTTTGCTAGAGTCACGGGGAGCAGTGACTCTTAGCATTCTTCCGGGATGAAGACACTAACTCCTTTTGCATGAGCACGGCGAAGACACGATTTTGCTCACATCTCAGACCTGAAAGAGACCCAAATCCCAGTCACTATGACGGATAGGAAGCTTCTAAGACGGAAGCTGGTTACATCGATGAACAATGTGCAAGATATTCTGCAAGAGTATTAAATTAACTTCTCTGTTCATCTGGAAACAGCATGTTCGATTTGTAGACCGCATGTTGAAATGTATGCGTTGCTGTGTAGTAACCAGGCCAATAAAACGTACGTGAAGATGATTTCTCATCTCCGTCCTACACCATTCGGCATTTTGACACAGTTGCAGATCACGTGTAGTTAACATTAGTACATTATGCGAAGAACACCTGGTCCTGCCGAGAGAACAGGGTGGTTTATCTAATAAAGCCTACCTCTTATGCAGTTGATTCGGTCCCAAGAATATGGTTGCGAGTTGTCTGGAACGAGCTCATTTGAAGACACGAACATTAGCCACACTTAATCCTTTCACAGAAGGTCGAGGTACGTGAACGTTTTCCAGAATTTGGGATGAGATTTTCCTCGACGATACTTCGGAGCAGGTTCCGTTGATTGTAAAGCTGCTCACGGAACTTATCACAATTGCATGGTTTGTACTGAAGAATTGAATATCACTGCGAATTGAATGTAAACGGACACTTGCAAGTCAATCGACGAGCAGCTACAAATGCAAACATCTCACCAGCATTTGACCTTTGTTAGAGTTTGTCAGTAACAATTGCAGAGTCTCATCCAGTGAATGATACATGGAGAAGACATATTTCACCCCAGGTGCGCTCTTATTCTAGGAAAGCCCCGAAAATACATCACAGAGATCTGAACTTCAACTCCACCGACATGATTGTGCCGCTATCTGATGATGAGTTACTTTGCACACATCGACAGTTCAGCAATGGTTTTTACGCGTGTTCTTAACTGCAAGGATAGTTTCCCACTTCACATCTCAGTCCATCAACAAAGATTCCGAAGTGGCATGCCTCACACCGACTTCATTCGTTTCCATTTTTCGATGTCAATCTAGCTATACAAGATTCAAAGACAGTGTACCATCTACTTGTGACGGAGGTTTGGATAAGCGTGTAAAAACAATCTCAATGTAAAGTCATGAGATGGGTGAGGCAGGTAGTACGAAATACAGTGAAGAAGAAGCTACTGCTCCGTCTAATATTCCATTCCTGAACAGTACTTCGTGCTTAGTCTTAACAAAATAATACAAAGTCCTTTACTATGCATGTGAGTAGGTAGTTTTGTTTTATGTGATCAGTTTAAGATAAACTCCAAAGTAACATATGATTTGAACACTTAGCAGCAACAGATAAATGCAGGTCCTACAACGATTGATGGAGTGATTAACTGCAATTAGAAGCATTTCAACATTGAAGAGAAAAGAATATGTGTTGCACTCGTGCTTCAATTGGTTGCAAGCTTCAGAAGTCATCCTTTTGTTAAAAGGACTCTCAACTGAACGTTCAAAAACAATTGTGTTGATTAGAAATTAATGGATGGTATTTTCAGAGAAAACTTCCCCTGAAACTGCCTTCAAAGTCTCAGTATTAATACTTTCAATGACTATCAGTAGCTTGTCCACATATTCTTCATGTCATCACATTATGTGGGTGCATTACTTGAAGATGGGTATTGCAAGGAACACTTTATCACATGAAAGTTTGGAAAAGTCTTTTGGTTGTAGCTAATGCAATGCTTTTATTCCAACGAATATAAAATAAAATGAAAAACTTTCTAATGTAGCATTCCATAATAAGTTGTTAATTTGGTCCCTAAAATTGCCAAAAGATAATTTAGCAAATGGTCTTTTCTAATTTTTGTTATTAAGACTTGCCAATTAGCTATTGTTTTAATAAATTAATAATAATAATAATAATAATATAATTCTTCACCTATTAAATTAAATTAATTAATATTTTAGCAATGAAAATAATACAAATTATTGTTTGTTTAATTAAATTTAGTAGATTTTAATGGCATCAAATAATTTAGAAATAAATAACATCATTGAAACACACATTAAATGATTTTAATCAGAGGAGTTAAACAAAAAAAAAAATGTTTTAAAGGTAATAATGAATAATGATAAATAAATTAATTAAAATACAAGTAAAGCAAATCAAAGATAATAGATAATTTTTTTATATAGTACATAGAGAACTGAGTACTGTTTCCCTAAACACATCATAATAACAAGTTATTGCTAGATAATTTCAATGCATTGGTTCTAAAGATTGTTTGTTTGTTATGCAGTAAAAATAAGCATGTTATTTTTGAAAAAATAATAATCATTTTTTGAAGGTTTAATAAGTTTTCCTTTACTACAAAACAAAATATGCTTGTTTTAAATCAATCAATTACATATGAATTTTAATAAATTTGTTGTTAAGTATTTCCAAGTAAATATAATAATGTGAGATATAATATTCTCCTACTTTATTAATTACAGAATTTCAAAAAACTTATTTTGGAAAATTAATTTTTTTATATATACACATACATACATACAAACATACATGTACGTCAAAACCTGCATTGGTAATACTCTACACTTCAGAATAAATTTTAGATGTATAGTTAATGTAATATAAACATGTGTTGTGTTAAATATTATTTTCAGTAAGTATTTGAGAGTACATATGCACACTAATACCACAACTACTACAATTATGCACTCATAGATTGCTTTCGGATGCCAACATGAGCTTTCATCAGAATGATGGCAACTGTAATAACATTGTAGAAGATAAATAGAAATGATAAGATGTCTATACACTCAAATACTATATATTTACTGTGTTTGTTATGTTATAATAATATAAATACATTTGTATAACTAGGCCTACTTTTATTTGGCAATCTTTGCTAGTGACAACTTTTTATCTCCCTGTTTTATTCTGAGTTATATCCACCTCCTCCCAGTGATCACCAGTGATACATTCTCGTGGTCTCGCGGCTCAACAAAGTCTTCTGCTAATCCGTTGGTGAAACTCACCTTCAAATTTGCATGAAATCGGTGCATACTTCATGTTTGTGACATGCCGATCTCCGCTGCACAGATGCAGACTTCAGTGGGACATGGTAGCAGTGATCCAATCCGAGAATACAACAAGGTGGAGCATCTCACTGTGTAGCTGATGGGTGTCTTCACGGAGGATGTGCTTGGATGTCTGCACGCACACTTTCATTTGTTGATTATGTCGCACCACGTTCATATCGGTAGATCTCATGCACAGAATGAAGGTCACTGGGTCACCGCAAGTTCGCGACTTGACGGTGTAGACATCAACGACAGTGACGCATTACGAATAACCGGTAGATGTTTTTATCCCACTGAGGTCAATTACGCGCTTGCCACACCTTCGAAGTTGATGCGAAGATTTCTAGACTAAAACATTATGCGATGTAGTTCGCTGATTGCTTTTGAATGCAGGTGTTCGCAGATGAATTTTGTAAGTTCGTTTTACACCGAGAAACTGTGGTCAGAACTCAAGCGCGGATTACCCTGGCGTATTTCTTCCATCCTTGAATAGGAGTCGAGATTGTCTCCACCTGAACTCTCCCACAAATAGTTCCCCACAGAAGTCAATTAGGAAGACTGCATCAATGCTTGAATGCGCGCAAATCCCAAAGCATCGCATTCAACCTACAACTGCTGGGAAAGATATCCACCAAGGGTTGCAGCACCTAAGACCGCATAAGCATCGTACCAAGCAGCCAAAATGTAGAATGAATGTCTTGTAAGGACATCATTAGAAATTCACTGAATCAACAAGTCAATGTGCCTCGCACTAAAACAGTGCGATGCTAGATGCAAAACACAATGCTGACTCTGGACTCACGAAAAGCCAAAGCTGAACCTGTTCAGTTCCGCTAATTTTGTCGTGCTCTGCACTGGAGATGGTCACAGAAAAGGTCACAGCGACTTGCAGGATCAAGTGACATAGAGTTCGAAGCCTTCTTCATAAAAAGGGGGTGAAGGCACTCGCATCGTGAGGTAAAACGTCTCACGAGAGCTTCTTGAACCATCCAACATCAGTAGTGTAAGGATACTGCATCACTTTTTCGGTACCCTCTCCATTATCCCAGTGTACATCCTCTGCTGACATAATACGGTCCACTTCTTTCTTCAGCTCTATCTTCTGCTCAGCGCTAAGAACTGCAACGTAACTCTTGCTGAGGACGCGTTACCTCACATCATCTTTCGTGTTCGACACATAGTGGCTGACTTGCCGTTCACGAAATGGTAATTGGAACATTTTTGACACCACCTTCGCCATCTCTGGATCTACAAAGGGTCTCCACCAAAGCCCTAATCTCTACTGAGGACTACCTGCTTCGTGTTTCTCATGGGCACCACGTAACCTTGCAACCCAGGAGGAGGTCCTCATGTCTTCCAGGTTCCAAATCATGGCCGACTGTTCATTCCAGTTTCAACACGCGGTGCATCTCTATCAATGCATCCACGTTTGCGAACCAGTGAATGCCTGACGATGAAGATCCACACAAACACATCAGCCAGTGTCTTGGAACCCTAGATTATTGTGTCCCAAATGCTCTCCAATCACCGTAGATACCTTTCAAACTAGAAAAAGGCTCGGATCCATACCTGTGCGATGAAGATGACATCCACGCTTGCATCTGGTAGTGGAATAGCAGTACTCGAGCCGTCGAGGATGTCAACATCAGGACAAACGAGCTGAAACTCTCGGCGCATGCCAGGGGAGGGCTCGACAGCAACAAGCTGACCAAAAGGAAGAATTAGTCGCGTCCACTTTCCAGTGCCCGCGGCTAGATCCAGCACCGAGAGGCTCGAGACTGTGGTGGGGTTACCGAGAGGAACCACAATCCCCTCCTTCACCATCTTCAACACAGCTGCTGGGAAGCTTGGTCGAGCCGATTCATACATTCTCTCGTCAGCATGGAAGCTTGAAGCTGCCAACTGTTGCACTTTGCTAGCCATTGATTGCTGGGTGGCCCTCTGTTAAGAAAATAGGCTAAGATATGAAAAATGATGATTACCATTCGTTGCAAACAAAATGTGCTGGAAGCCAGGGGAAGGGCACTTCTAGTGTCTTAGTTAAGAGTTGGTTAAGTCATAGCTTTCAGTACACATAATATGGGACATTTAACACATTCAACACTCCTCTTTTGGAAGTGGGACTTAATTCTCTACCAAAACATGACCTAACATATTCTTGAAAGCTAGAAACTTATCTCTAGGAAGAGGTTTTGTAAAAAGGTCTACCGCCATTTACTCTGTGGGACAATATTCCAAACTAATTTGTCCTTTCTCCACACATAGCCTAATAAAATGATGTTCTATATTCCAATCCTTTGTATAACCATGGTGAGTTAGATTTTTGGCAATAACAATAGTGTTCTAGTTATTTTTATAAATGAGAATTCTTTTTGGCTCATGAATGTTATAATCCCTAAATAATTTACAAAGCCATAAAGTCTCTCTTGCTACAACAACCAAAGCTACATACTTTGCCTTTGTTGATGAGACAAAATCTAAAGATTGCTACTTGTTTGACCAAGTAATAATTGATATGCTTAATGTAAATGCATAACCACCAATTGAAGGGCATGTCTCTATACAACCTATCCCATTTGAATCACTATAGCCTACAAGTTGTAAATTTGCTTCTTTTCCTCCATATTGCAATACCAAATGCTTTGTGCCTTGTAAATAACAAAATATTTATTTGATTCTTTGCCATTGTGAAACATATGGATGTGCCATATATTGAACAAAATATTGACAAGCAAAAGTAATATCATACTTTATACCATTTGCAAGGTACAATAACAAACTTAAAGCCTTTTGATAAAGCTTAACACCTTTTGTATCTAAAAAGTCATCATTCTCATGTTTAGTGACATGACCTCATACCATTGGTGTAGCAACTGCCTTTGCATCTTTCATTCCAAATTTTTCCAACTTTCAACAAATGTACTTAGTTTAACTCAAACAATTAGTATCATTTTTCTTATCTTCCAAAAAATCAATGCAAAAAGAATTATTAGGTTCACCAAGGTCTTTCATCTTATAGCACTTTTGCAATTCTTCCTTATATTTTACAAGGATCTCAAAGTTCTTACGACCAATAAGTATGTCATCAACATAAATGATTAGTGCAAGAAGTAGTTCCTCAATGTACATTATGTACAAATAAAGGTCTGATTTTGAGTACTTTCAACCAAGATTTAATAGAGATTTATCCAAACTCTCATTTCATCCACGTCCAAATTGCTTCAAATTATATAGAGTCTTCAACAATCGCAACACCTTATCTTTGTCTTTTGATGGAACTTCCAAATCTTCTGAAATCTTCATATAATTATTTTTTTCTTTAAATTCATCATTTAAATAAGCTAAAACAACATCAAGTTGCAATATATTCTAATTAAAGATAGCAACAATTATAACAAATATGTAAATTGTTGCAAGGCGAGCAACTAGTGCAAAAGTTTCTTAGTAATCAAGACTTTTCACTTGAATAAAATCTTTTGGAACCAATTGTACTTTAAAATGTTCAATAGAGCCATTGTTAGCAAGTTTTTTCTTAAAAACCTATTTTGAATCTACAACCTTCCCACCATTGGATAAAAATAAAAAATTTCATGTACTATGATCTTTCAAAGAATTGAGTTCTTCCTTCATGGAATAACTCCACTCTTTGTAAAAAAGTGAATTTATGGCTTGGTCAATAGTTTCTACTTCTGTACATTTATCAACATAAACCACATCCACTATTTCAATTGGCAAGTCATAATTTCCTCAAATAAAATTATTGTCTTTTTTTCAAGGCGTGTGATGCATCTTATTGCCACTTATAATATTTGATGGATCAATGCCACCTATGTAACAACATTTTGGTGGTAAATCTTGAGTAGTTGCTTCAACTTCTAGTTGATGGAATTCCATTGCATTTGTTGGTATAGGATTTATTTCCTCTTCAATCATTTCTCCATCCAATGTGTCATATACATGTAATCTTAGGGCTTGAAGTTGGAATATTTCTAATTTTGTTAGATGCTAAAAATCTAACAAATGAAGATTGTTCCTATGATTCATCTCTTCTCCAATTTTCTCTTAAAAGTTTAATGATTCTTCAGCTAACTTATTCTTGTTATCAAAAAAAATCACATCTCAACTAATGATCATCTTCTTTTTTTTAGGTAGAAAAATTTCATATATTTTTGCCACTTCTGAATATCTAACAAAAATATCCTTCCTTGCCTTTGCATTGAGCTTTTGATATTTTTGCTTTGATATATGATACTAAACAAGAAAATCAAAGCAATGAGCATTTTGAAGGAAATATTTTTTATTGTAAAAAACTTTGTGTGGTATCTTGCCATTGAGTCTTGCAAGTAGAAGGCGATTACGAGTCCAAGTCATAAATTTTGTTACAAATGTCCAATATTTATGATCCAATTTGGTATTGTTTATAAGTTTTTGTATTCCTTCAAAAATATTTTGCATCATATGCTCTACCATGCCAATAATTTCATGTGTATATGTAGGAGTCGTCATGTACCAAATGCCTTAACCTTTGAAGTAAGAATCAAGCTTACTATTTGATAATTTAGTGCCTTAATCATTGAGAAATATTTTTATCTTTCTTCTAGTTCTTCTTTGTGCCTCTGCTTCCTAAGTCTTGTACGAAACATGTATTTGGTTCTTTGTTTTAAGAATTACAAGGCTATAATAGCCAAAATATTCATCAATCCATACAACTAACCATTTAGCACCACCAAAGCTAGTTATATTGGAATAACCAAGGTCAGATATTATCACATCTAAAATATCATTGGCATGCTTATGCTTCTATGAAAAAGATTATCTATAGGCCTTGCCAACAATGCATGACTCACAAATTGGTATTTTATCCTTCTCTCCCTTGATCTCTAATCCTTCAACACAATTCATCCACTTTGTCTCTCGTATTATATACATTGAAGCATGTACTAATGCTTGATGCCATTCAATAAGTGTACAACTTAAAATAGATGAATTCAAAATTATGGCATCTTCTTCAATTTTACAAGACATAAGGTAAGGTTTACTGGTTAGTGTGCCTCATATGAAAAAGTTACTTGAAGATAGAATCCAATCAATCTCTTCTTTTTTTTCTCAATGCAATTGACTAAATAAGTAGATCCAAAGATTTTGGTAATGTAATAAGTATAAGAAACACCATACTCTGTTTGTTCATTTCACCATCGACTTCAGTATATTGATCCCTAAGATCAAAAATCTTTCCAAGAAAAATCTCTATGGATTCTCCATCCACATATTGAAGATTATACAATTTCTTCATTAAATATATCTTGGTAATGACTTTCGAGGGCTTGTGGATCTTAGCCAATGTATCTTAGCTAATGTAATCTCCAGCAACTCCAACAATGGCGAAGCTCCAACAACATGCAAATCATCCAAATTTTCATCCAATAAAAATATCTAATTTTTTCATCCAAACTTTGTCCAATAAATTTTCATCTATGGTAATATTCATCCAGCTCTCATACCATATTACAAAAATAGGATAAGTTATGAAAAATGATGAGTATCATTCGTTGCAAATGATATGTGTCGAAAGCCAAAAGAAGAGCACTTCTACTACCTTGTAAGTTGGAAAAATATTTTAAAAAGATATTAGTAATATTTTATCTCATTCTAAATTGATAATCTTATTAAATAATCTTTTAAATTTTAAGTTTTTTAAGAAAGTAACTTTTAAGCTTTATTCATGTTAAAAACTTTGCAAAACAGTATAAAAACAAAATTGCCTGATATTGATGGTATTTTCTCTTTAAAAATAATTTGTTTTAGAAAAAGAACTAAAATAATTATTAAAAATTTAATCTTTTTTAAAAAAAGATAGGTTATTTCAAAATATTTTTTCTAATTTTAATAAATATATTTGTTTTCAAAATAATTTTGAATTTGAAATAGTAATATAATTAGTTTCAATCATTATACAAAATAGATTTGATTTGACAAAGTAATATTAAGATATTCTCTATTCAATTTAGATCTATACTATCTTATTTTAATTTATTATATATACTAAGAAAGTTTAAAAAATTAACAAAAAAATATATTTTTTAATATAATCAACTTATAATACTACTAAGTTTAATAATTTTAAGAATATTTTTTAAAACACTTATTTTATAACTTTTTTCAAACTTGACCAATGTCTTAAAAAATTAGATACAATTTTTTTACAATATCTTAAATTATTATAATCTTCAAACTTGACATGGTTATTACATAATTAAAAAAAATTAATTCTTAATACCATAATATTATTAAAAAAAACTTTATTTTACTTAATTATCGTATTTTTATTTTTTTTTAAAATTAAATGGATACCTTCTTTTCAATGCATGCACAGCCTTTTTTAAAATTTTAATTTGGCAAAGGTTTGAAAAGATAGAAGAATTAAAGGCTAAGATAATATTATCTCAAAGAAAAAAAATAGAAAAGGCATATCAAATTTTTTTTTCTTAAAATAATAAATATAATAAGAATCATGATTTAAAATCAAAACTAGTTATTTTTTGTGAAGATGTGTAGCACTAGAAAGTGTCTACATAATAAAAGTGATGGGTCTACCTAGTAATTCTCTATAAATATAACTAAAATTCTTATTTTTTTAAATAACTTAAAATTTTAAATTTTTTATATATAAAATTAAAAAAATTATTTTCTAGATTTTTTACTATTTTAGTTATTTTTTTTTATAATGCTAAAATTTAGTAAATTCATCAAAAAAAATTAAATATCTTAATTTTTTAGAAACTATTTAATTTTAACATTGCTCAAGTATTATAAATTTCTAAAATTGATTTGAATTTGATTCTTATATTTGAAAAAGAAGAAATATTTTATATTATTTATATATGATAAAAAAATTTAAAAATATATAATTATAATATTTTATAATAAATTTATACCTCGAAATTTATTATTCATTATAGTATTGTCAATGAAATCATAATTTTATTTTTTTTGAATAATC